TGCTACTATATTGATCAATTACTACCCCTTTGGTCTAACCTTTATTTTATTTTTTTCTTAGGGATTTAAGCTTCAACAATTTGACTGGGCGTATTCCAGATGCACTTTTCAATCTGACTTCGCTGACTCACTTGTAACAGATGATTTAAATTGCTTATAATTGATACCACCTTAACTATGTGTTCATGTGCTAATGCCCTTTTCGATCATCAGGTTTCTTGGTGATAACAAGCTAACAGGCACCCTGCCAGCTCAGAAGATACGGTCTCTCCAGACTATGTGAGTAACTCTTGTTTTTATATGATATCCTTTCTGTTGAAATGAATATACTGAACTTTCAAACAGATTCACCATCTTATTAAGGAGAATGAAGAACTATTTCTGTTATAAGTGATTTCATCATCTTTCTTACTGAGACTTTGAGGCCTTACTAGGTAATGCTGATAGGATAATACCAGAGTCTTTACTAGATTGATTCATAATATCTAGCATGTAATTGTGTGTATAGCATCCAGTCTTCAAAATATTTTTATCTTATGGCCTTCTTGAACTGATGCTGCAATTTAATGCGGCTGGAGCAAACTCTAAATTACTATCTCCCTCTTACATATAAATGCATGACATATTTTATATTTTTGCGCTCAAAAATATCTGAAATGCTTAACATCCCATCTTTTCACGTAGAGATTTATCTTACAACGAGTTATCTGGAAACTTCCCTTCTTGGATCAATGAAAATCTGCAATTGTAAGTATGAGAATAGCTGAAGTTTATATAATGCTTCACCTTATCATTTTTCTCCCTACCTTTTGGTCTCAGTTTTGACTGTGATCAGCATGCTAACAATGATACTTGGCAACTTGCAGAAATTTAGTTGCCAACAACTTCACAACAGAACAAATAGATCAATCAGATAGCAGGTAATCAGAAATTTAGTTGACAGCAAAATTATAGTTGTTTCTTTATTTGAAGAACTTAAATGGGTGATACTTCCTTTGTCTTCAGTTCTTTGCCTTCGGGGTTAAATTGTCTTCAACGGAATTTCCCTTGCAATCGAGGACGTCCAATATGTAAGTGCTTCCTACAATTCCTTGACGACAAAAATCCTACTCCAAGTTTCTGGTTTCATTAGCATGAATAAGTTTGAAAATTGTTGTTTTACATTTTGTATCTATAAACCAAAATATCAGAATGGATCAATATCCATTTAGTTGAATTCGTCCATTTAAGGTAATATACCTAAATCTGTAATATTTGTCCTACATTTTCTGTTCTTATGATATGTCGCTTACCAAGAAACAACGACATCTCCTACTCTATTCTACTGCTAATGTTGTAATATAAAGCTGTGTAGTGGTTTCTTATCTTCTCTTGCATGTGACTTTTCATAATTCACAGATTCCGACTTTGCAATTAAATGTGGAGGAGGGCGTGCAATAAGATCTAGTGATCAGATATCGTATGAGAGGGAGAATGAGACTCTGGGTCCAGCAACATATTTCATGACTAGTACAGGGAGGTGGGCTGTTAGTAATGCTGGTCTGCATTCTGACCGTCCAAATCAGAGCTTGACAAGCTCCACCTCATCTCAGTTTACAAACACCTTGGACTCTGAGCTATACCAAACTGCACGAATTTCCGCTGGATCACTCAGATACTATGGCTTGGGCCTTGAGAATGGTAATTACACTGTGACCCTCCACTTTGCAGAGTCAGAAATCTTAAATCCCCCAACTTGGCAAAGTGTTGGAAGACGAGTATTTGACATCTATGTACAGGTATGCATTATTTTTAAAAATAGAGAAACATATATTATTCATAAACAAAGAAACATTGGAATGATTTGGGTCCGAAAAGAGCATCACTTAAATAATTTTATGGTTATCTTTTTCCAGGGAATTCGGCAGTTGAAAGATTTTGACATTAAGAGGGAGGCTGGGGGAAGATCCCTCGCAGCTGTTCAAAGGCGATTTACAGCTCAGGTCTCTGATAATCATCTTGAAATACATCTCTTCTGGGCTGGAAAAGGGACCTGCTGTGTACCTATACAAGGCACATATGGACCTTCCATATCAGCAATCAGTGCAACCCCAGGTATCCATGAGTTACAGACATAAATTAGATTCTTAAATGAGGCATTCAGAACTGTACTCACACTGCTAAGCTTTTCTACAGATTTTGAACCCACTGTTAGCAACCAGCCTCCTACTACAAAAAAGAACCGGACCGGTCTGATTGTGGGTATTGTTGTAGGAGTTGGAGTCATAAGCTTGATTTCATTATTTGCTGTCTATTACCTAATTCAGAAAAGAAAACAGCAGAAGGCTTTGGAGGATGAAGGTAAGAAATGCAATCTGATCTTGTATGGTTTTTCCGTCTTCAACTTTCAAGTGATTCATCTATCTTTGAGTTTAACTGCTACTTGGAAAGTCGGTTAGCAACACTTCCATTTCAAGGTTCTTTTTTTTTGTTCTTGATATTGACAATTTGGTTTAGTTGAGCAAGAGTTAATGCAAGGAGTCAGCATTTGCATTCCTTCAGTTTATGCACCTTATGAAATAATGTATAATGTATGTTCTAGTGTGTAAGTCCCAGAAATTGATTCCTTCGGCTTATTAAGGACATTTTCTCTTCAAATTTTCAGAGTTCATGGGGATAGATACCAGACCCTACACTTTCAGCTATTCAGAACTTCGAGCTGCTACTGGTGACTTCTCTTCTTCTAATAAGCTTGGAGAGGGAGGTTTTGGACCAGTTTACAAGGTAATATCTTCTTCCACATGAAGTCCTGAAGTAACTAGCGTTCCCATATTGCAATTTTTGTTGCACCTATAGCTCACATGTTTCTCAAACATCAAGAAATTATGTTCCATGACTAAATACTTGTGCTTTCTTGTTTGCTTTAGTTTTGCTATGAAATATGGAAAACAGGAAATGATTTTATTGAAATCTCTGAATCTTGAACCAATTTTATGTGGTCCATAGGGAACACTTGAGGATGAGAGGGTTGTTGCTGTTAAACAACTGTCTGTGGCATCACATCAAGGAAAGAGTCAGTTTGTGGCAGAGATTGCTACTATATCAGCTGTACAACACCGTAATCTTGTGAAACTCTATGGTTGCTGCATTGAGGGAGACAGACGATTGCTTGTTTATGAGTACCTTGAAAACAAGAGTCTTGATCAAGCATTATTTGGTACTAATGAATACAATATCTTGGAATTTTTGCCTTTCATCATATAAGAGAAGAAAAAAAAATACATTTCCTGATTTTTATAGAATGATTATTGAGCTTATGGCTTCAATTGTGCAGAGAAAGGATCTTTATATCTTGATTGGCCAACACGCTTCCAGATATGCTTGGGAGTAGCAAAGGGTCTAGCGTATCTTCATGAGGAATCTCGAGTCCGTATTGTCCATCGAGATGTCAAGGCCAGCAATATCCTGCTTGATGCAGATCTAAACCCAAAAATTTCAGACTTTGGATTGGCAAAACTTTATGATGACAAACAGACACATATAAACACTCGTGTTGCAGGCACAATGTAAGATCCTGAAAATGGAAGATGTCTCATTCTTAGACTCCTTTTCTATAGTTTTGTTTCATGCTCGTTAGCATTTTCTTGTAGAGGGTATCTTGCACCAGAATATGCCATGCGCGGACATCTGACAGAGAAGGCTGATGTGTTTGGCTTCGGAGTTGTAGCTCTAGAAATTGTCAGTGGTAGAACAAATTCTGATGAGAGCTTGGAAGAAGACAAGATCTACCTTCTTGAGTGGGTAAAGTCCTTTCCTTCTTTGCTTTTAGTAAAGCATTAGAACAATGTGCTTTCATTGCTGCTCCAAGTGGTTATGCAACTTCTAGCTTGTCAGGATTGATATACCACTTGGATTAACGAAATGGAAGAATATCTTCCTTTGCATTCACGCTTTTCTACTTTTTATCTCTATTATCTATCTTTAAAGACTTTGACTTATCATGCTGTACTGTGGTTCCTACATTTATCGTTTAGTTCTAACCATATTCACTGACTCCTGTGTACACTGCTCTTCTAGGCTTGGCAGCTTCATGAGAACAAGCGCGAAACTGAGCTAGTGGATGCAAATTTATCTGAATTTGATGTAGAAGAAGTGAAAAAAGTAATAGGGATAGCTCTACTATGCACTCAAACATCCCCAGGATTACGACCCTCAATGTCCCGTGCAATAGCAATGCTTACAGGAGATGCTGAGGTTGCCGCTGTGACTTCCAGACCTGGATACCTGACTGACTGGAAATTCAAAGATACAACAACCTTCATGAGTGATCATTCTTCGCAAATGCAAAATTCATCAGTGGGTACAAGTACAGCCGCGACTACAAATTATTCACCATCAGGTCAGGACACACCAATGCTCAGTGACATCATTGGAGAGGGTAGATGAAATCTTCTATTTTTCAGTCAGAGATGAAGCGAGACATCAAATAAACCTTAGTTTGCTTTGAAGATGTTAGATTCTTTCTGCATGTATGTATTATAACCATTTGTGTATAGGTTTTCGTTGATTTAAGGACTGATACTTTGCCTATCTTTTTTTAAGAGAGTGATACTCAAAATATTGCTATGACTAAAAGATACACAACTCTTTTTCTCCCATGCTCTAGCTATTACGCTGCCTAGACCATGTAGTTAGGCACATGAATCGGTATCACTATTGATATAAAATGCATAATCCACCAAAAGCTGAAGGCATCTGATGGATAAAATAGCTGAAAAGCTTATAAAGAAAACAAACAAGTTGCAGGGAACATTCTACCTTTGCAGGCAGGCAGAAACAATCAAGCAAAGCTGAAAATGTTAAGAATTCATTGCCAAATAAGAATCATTGTAACTGCAAAAATACAAAAAGCAGAACAGTATATTCTGCAACTTCCCCACAATTAATTTCCTTCTACTAAATGATTACAGAAGCTAAAAGCTTCAGTTGTAGAGCATAACAGCCATTCAAACCTTGTAAGTATCAACCACACAAAATGGTCCTGGTTAAAGCGAGTACCAGACAAGTAACAGAGAAGAAAAACAGTGACACAAAGTCTCTAGCTGACCATTTTCGAACCACCTTAGCTTCAACCCTCAAACTCTTAGCCCTCCTAAGAGCATCAACTTCCTTCAACAAATCAAATTCCATCCCTTTTCTCTTCAACTCCTCCACACACTTAGCCAGTAATTTCCCATCCTCTTTCTCTCTCTCCAACAGTTTCTCTAAGTGACTCTCCGTATCCGTCTTGTACCTAACAGCCCAAATGATACCCATAGAGCAGAGGAGAGAACAGATTGACGGGATCCATGAACGGTGGCAAAGCCCCGTTTTCGAAGCCCATTTGGAGGAAGCACTGAATAAAAGCATAAGCGAAATCGAATGGAACAGGAAGAAAATACAGTAGAGCTGAGTGATTTCATTGCGGACCGAGTCAATTTGGGTTTCTTTGGTAGCGATTCTGTTGAGGATGAGTTCTTCTTCTTTGAGCCATTGTTTGAGAAGCAACTTGTGAGTTGGGGTTTCTGCGATTTGGTGAAGTGGGTGTAAGGGCTTGGATTCCATTATTGAAGTGTTGCCCGCCATTGGAGATCGAAAGTTGCTTTGGGATTAGGGGAGAATGGACTGGCGAGCGGGGGGAAAAAGTAAAGAGGAGCCCTCCTTTTTAACGGTCCTTTCGGATTTGAAATTATGTAACGGTCGATTTTATGGATTTCGTCAAATGTGACTGACTCCTATATTTACAGATCTAGCAAATCTTAGCTGGATCTGGATTCATGACTATATTTTTTTCTTTTTCTTCTGAAAATGGGAAAACGTCCTACAATTATTTAAATAACTTTTTTTTCCTTTTGAGGTTTTTGAATATGTTGTCTTATGAAATATCACGTGCAACTTTTTGTACAAGTTGAAGAAGTTTTAACTATTTGTTTAGTGGCAAAAATGCTTCGATTTTTATATCAAGTCATCTACATGTCATCATCTTCCATTATTATTTATCTCATACGATTAAGTAGTTTAACTTTTGATGTTTGAGGAAAGTTAGTTTTATAGTATAAGATATCTAAACTAAAAATATCTTATTTTGTGTCCATCCAAAAAATAGCAGCTGTGAATTTTTTCTTGTCATAAAAAAGAAGAAGATGTCTAAGCTAAAAATGCCATCTATATTGCATAAGAAGATATTTGTGACTTTTTGGATGAGAATCGAAGTGAACTCTTTGTTGCCGTTTTGTTTAATAAAGGATCAAATATTTCATGGTCACAAACTCTCTTAGGCAAGACTATTTGCTTGAAGAAAACTCTTGTAGAGTTTGATACTAGATAAGCTCCCTCCGACTAAATTACAATAAAGGATCAAATCTTTCATGGTCACAAACTCTCTTAGGCAAGACTATTTACTTGATGAAAACTCTTGTAGAGTTTGATACTAGACAAACTCCCTCGACTAAATTACAATAAAGGATCAAATCCTTCATGGTCACAAACTCTCTTAGGCAAGACTATTTGCTTAAAGAAAACTCTTGTAGAGTTTGATACTAGACAAGCTTCCTCGACTAAATTACAAAAATCAAATAATTTTTTTGTCCTTTGATTAATCACGTGAGTACGCATTCAATCCTTATTTATTATGATAAAGCAATAAACTGAAATGATGTTACATATATTCAATTAATTGTGATTACAAGATAAAACTATAGTATAAAATATTAATTATATATTCATTGTTTGGAGTAAATATTAACCGTATAAGTAAGTTTTTTTTTCTTGTCAGAAGTACACATTATATTAGTCATTTGTCTCATTTTTTACTTTGATAGATTTAGTTGAATAATATTATTTAATAAAATTGTCTAATGACTTTAAACAGGTACTTGTAGAAGTTGAAATAAGGATATAGTAGATTAATAATTGAATATGTTATTGGTGATTAATATTCAAAATTAAATGGTTCTACACTAGTACTAGTATATTGGGAAATGCAATCAGATCTTTTCCTTTTTCATTTTATTTCCTTTCCCAGTGACGGGACAAGAGGAAGCATTTTGGAAAAGGGTGGACCCGTAACTTTGCTCCCGCTCATACACGCATTGCCGCTCCGTTATTTGCTTTGCCCCCGATCGATTACTTCCTTCTCTGACTGATTGTTCCATTTTCTTCAACCTCAATTCTCCCAATTTTTCAAATTCAAGTTGCTGTTTTCTGTATTATTCAATTCAATTTCTTCTAATTAGGGTACATACATACAAACATGGCCTCATCAGCTACCATCAACAAGATCGAAAGAGCTCACCAGATGTACAGGGAAGGTAGATATGCCGAAGCTCTGGGTTTTTATACGGATGCACTTTCTTTGGCTAAAACCAAGTCCCAAAAGATCGCTCTCCACAGCAATCGTGCTGCTTGTTTCCTCAAACTTCACGATTTCAAAAAGGTTACATCTTTATTTATCTTCATCCATAATTACATCAAACATTTGTTGAATTCGAGCTCTGAAACTTGGAACTTGATGCTTTGACCTTTCTCATTTCCAATGGTTCCGAGTTGCTAGCTGATATAGTGTTGTGAAACCATGGCCCTGGTAACAAATGGCTGCTCTTTTAGAAAATAGCTTAAAAATGAAATTCAATCTTTTACTGAATTCATCATGTACTATAAAGTTTCTCTTTTCAGCAATAACATAGTTCAAATGAAGCAAAAAGGGATATCCTTTTTCATTTTTATAGTTAATGTTGACCCTACTTGCTTGGGCTTTAAGTTCCAAATCAATAAATCAACTTTTTTTTTTCTTTGATTAGTTACACCCATAGATAGCCAGTGAATCATCTTTTTCGGTTTTCTAGGTCCTTGGTTTTCCTTGTTGGTTGGCTCTTTATATCTCGAAATACACGGGCTTCGATGAGTAGCTTAAGGTCTTAACTGATGTGCACATCATGAACTGAATATTGTATTGGACTTTAGTAGAGGCGTAGCCAGGATTTTAGCGAAGGGTGTTCAAACTTCGAAGAGGTAAATACTAAAAAATGAAAGAAGAAAAATCATGAATGGGCGCGGAATTTTTAAGTGAAGCTACATAATATTTAGCTAAGTCATAAAAGCACTTGTTATGGTACTAACAATCCTATAAATTAAAACTAACTTAAAAATAGAAGAAATAAATTCTTCTAGTGAAAGCATATTCCAAATAATTATTCAATTCTATTCGAAAAGATTTCATATCTTGAATTTTTTTAAAATAATAAACTCATTAGAAACAATACTAAATATCTCTTCATTACATTAGGCACTACGAAATTGCCTAAAAAATGATCAAATTGTATTATAAGTGTTGAGTCCCACATCGGTGAGATGAGAAGAATTTGGACTCTTTATAAGGTCCATTTAACGTGATATAAGAGCTAGGCCCATTCCAATTTGTGGTTTACCGATGTTGGGTCCCCTTATAACTTGTCCACGCTCCAGGTGTCCAATCTAAGCGTGAGGTGGGTGTTGAATCCCACATCAGTGGGATGAGGAGAATTTAGACTCTTTATATGGTCTTGAGAAGTTCTCCCCTCATGAGCTAGCTTTTGAAGTTGAGTTAGATCTCGAATACTGAAATAAAAGAGTATGTTTTGTGCTTAGTTTTGTGATGCCTATAGATAGTACTCCATCCGTTTCAAATTATATGATCTATTTTGCTTTCCGAGTGTCAAGTTGATTAATCTTTGAAGCTAAGTTGGATTAAATCAACACTATATTTTAACTGTACGAAAATTACTGTAAGTTATGATATTTCTCATATCAATATGATAAAAATAAAACATTTTAAAATATTGGTGAAAATTTACATAGTTTGAATCTTGAATAGCGAAAAATATCACATAAACTGACAAAGAGGGAGTAGCTTTTTAATGAAAAATACTTTCCCCTTTTTTTGATACCAATAAAATATTTCTCGTTGTCTTCTTGCAATAATAACACAAGAATCCATTAAGAAGAATAGTTAATATGAAGGTATATTTTCTCAGCACAAGCAGCAAGAGTTAGTGAACGACTCACCTTATTTGTTCTATTTTACTTTTAAAAAGATGTACACAAATAATAGCTGTAGGAATCGAACCCGTGCTTCTTTAGAAAGTCAGACCACCCTTGGCCGCTGAGCTATCACTCTCAGTTGTGTCAAGAGTGTACAAGAGTGAATAATTGTATGTTAAAAACGATATTTCAGCTCTACAAATGATATAATTTTCCTGCAAAGAGTGTTCAGCTAACCACCCTTCCAAGGCTGTAGCTCCGCCAGTGGATGTTAGTAATTTGTTTTCAGTGACCGGGCTGTGTACATAATTGATAACTAGGTAACTGCGAAGTTTTATGTATCCAAGGTTTGCTTGATACCCGAATACAGCCAATTTTTTTTGAATAACTTGTTCATTAATTACTAAAACTAGCATATTGTGTTTCCTATTAGCAAATAGAAATATCCAAGTTAGCTTGAACAATTTCTTTTTATTTTAGGTTTTCCCTTTATCGATAATGTAGTAAGCATATGAGTGAGCGGAAGAAGAAGTGATCACTCAGTCTCAGTTTTAGTAAACCGTTAAACTTGAAGCAGTTGATGATGATGATCCTAACAATGGACAGTACTCCAACAGCGTTGAACGTGTCTCTTGTCAGATATTTATGGCCTTTTTTCTGAGCATATTTTATCAAAAAAAAAATGATGCCTGGTTGCTATAGTTTGTGTTGCTGCAGTATACTGTATGTTCCTCTTGTTATTGTTTGAAGAAAGATAAATTAGAGAAAAGAGGGAGGATTTATCTGTTCAGTGCTTTCTTTGAGCTTACTGTTTGTTATCATCTCATGTTGCAGGCAGCAGATGAATGTACATTGGTGCTTGAACTTGATCAAAAACACACAGGCGCGCTGATGTTGCGCGCTCAAACCTTAGTCACCCTCAAGGAGTACCATTCAGCACTTTTCGATGTCAACAGGTTAATTGAGTTGAATCCATCATCAGAAGTGTATCAAAACCTCCATGCCCGTCTGAAGACACAATTGGTAGTCATTCTGCCTTTCTCTTGGGTTTTCTTTTCATGTTTGTTTACTTTTTTCACCAACTCCTCTCTACCCTTTGCGGCTCTGTCTATGGCTTAACTATAATGGGCCTGTGTTTCTTTCTACTTACATTATGGTGCTGCTTGATGGAGTAAAGTTTTCATGTATATTTTTTTCAAAAATCTATTCGTATGCTACCATTAACTTAATTAAAATGTCATAGTTAAAGCATTTGTCATATCTTTGCTAATTCTTAGGGGAAATCAACATCAACCAAATTAGGACGGACTTTTGGCATAAATTGGTCAAGCAAATGAATTGACTCTCATTACATTCTGATTTTGTTTCCTCCTTTGTAATTGAGTCACCATATAGTCGAATTTATGTGCTCATATAGAGTGGTGGTTTCATGATTCTTCATTTCTGGGCCAAAAGTGTTCAAAGTAAACGAGATTGTTTTCCTCGTCTATCTGACCCTTTTCATAGATGGTAATTTAGAGATGTTTCTTCTTTTGTTCAAGGAAAGTCACTTGCTCCAATACCTGAAGATGAAGCAGAGCTTGAAGAAGATGATGATGAAGATGATGACTTAAAGGTAGATTGGGAAGAACAATGTACAGGTAGAGAAACCAATGAAGTTGATGTAGGAGAAGACAAAAGAGATGTTGTGGAAGTAACCACAATAAAAGCAGAGTCTGAAAGTGTCAAACAGACAACTGAAGTCAGTGATGTTCCAAAAATGGAATCGTCTGAACAACAGTCGTCTAGCTGGGAAGCAATTCCACAGCCAAAAGGACATTCACGGCTTGACTATTCTAGATGGGATAGGGTTGAAGATGAGTCTAGTGAAGATGACGATGATGATGATGATGACGATGATTCTCAACCTCAGTATAGATTCCGTGTCAAAACTATTGGTGTGCGAGCTGTTAAGTAAGACGAAGAAAGTATTTAATGCAAATTGGGCCATACAATTCTTTGTTGTTTCATATGAAGAGAGCTGAAAGTCTATTGGGCTTCGAAATGATGCTAACTTTGTTTCATTCAGGATCACGTGGAAGCTCTGGCACATGTTGATAGTTCCTTGTACTTGTGAGCATAGAAACCTTATACTTGTGAACATATAAACAATGTACATTTTATATGAAGTGAGAGAGCAACAAAAACTGAGATATCATCTGCCAGAGTGAGATGGTTCTGGCAGTGTTACTATGACTCTAGTGCTGTTTTGATTGTTTTCCATTCCGGAAAACTGGTGTCCAGGCTGCTGGCTGTACAATTCTCTTTGGTGGCACATTGTAGATTTACGTCTTTGGATGCATGATTCTGTTGAATGAATGAATGAATTGTGAGACCACCAACAGTGTGTTTCTCCGTTAAATCAATGTGAAGAGGAACATACCTTTCTTCTTCTTTTGGGGGTTGTGTTGTATCTTTTTACATTAGCAAAGCATATTTTGTATTGATAAAGAATCATAATCCCCTCAAATTAAATTAAGTACTAACAATATCTGCAGTCACCTTTGCCCCTCTTCTTCTTTTTTTGGGATAAAGTTCAAAGTACGTTAATGAAACTAATTGTAGCATTTGAAATTAAGGTTTGATTGCAACTTTACCCTTATTTATCTATTTAGAGATAAAGTTCAAGTACACAAACTTCTTGTTTAGACAAAGTTAAAATCAGAATTCAAAGTTAATAATGTCGAACCTAAATTCACAAGTACACATAATAGAATTTTTTTATTTATTTTTTTTACGACAAATATAAGGTCTAAGCAAACTGAATTCATCACCTAATATAGTAGCAGTAGGCCGCCCTTTGTTACTAAATTTAGCCAAAAGTCAGTATATGTATTTGTTTTCTAGTGTAATAGAAAGACATGGACTGGGGGCCCAAACAGAAAAAGACCCCAAACCTTTGGAGGGAAACCCAATTAAAATTCAAACCCACCGCAGATAGATCCTTTTTGGAAACAAAAACAAAAAAGAAAAAACATCGTCGTCGTGCCTAGCTCACACACATTCCTCCATTTCCAAACCCCATTTCTCTTCAATTTTCAGAAATTAGGGTTTGGAAATTCTGGAGATGTCGGAGAACAGCATCATCAAAAACAGACGGAATGCCTGCCCGGATTTTCACCTTTCCGATGAAATGCTTTCTGTTATTCCGACGGACCCATATGACCAATTGGACCTTGCCCGGAAGATCACCTCCATGGCAATCGCTTCTCGCGTTACAAGCCTGGAGTCTGAGATGGACAGGCTCCGACAGAAGCTTAACGGAAAGGATCGCGTCATCCTCGACCTCGAGGATAAGGTCTCTCAGCTCGAACACGCCTGTCACCAGGCCGAATTGCGATTGAACATCACTCTCCAAGATAATGTATTTCTGCAAAAATCACTTCTTTTGCTTTTGCTTTTCATTTCCATTTAAAGGGAATTAATCTTTTCTTTTTTTTTAACAAAAGAATAAATTAATCTTTTTTTTTTTTTTGGAATTAAAAGATGAAACTGTCGAAGGAGAGAGATAATCTGGCTTTTACTGCAAAGAAGCTTGGTCGCGACTTAGCAAAGGTTAATACTTTTCTTCAATTATTATTATTTTTTTGACTTCTCATGGTCAATTATTGGAATACTCTCTCATGAATCATGGTTTTTATTTATCTGTTTATGCTCTAGCCTTTCTAAGCTTATTCTGGTCTATTTTTTTGAAAAACTTTTGAGGGTTACTTTCAATTGCTGATTTAGATGATCAATTCACCAGCAAGGCTAGTGAAACAGATGTTCTTTTTCTTGTAATATTAAAGTAACTCTTACTAGGCTAAGTCTCTGGAAACTAGTTGTAGTATTACTTGAGCTGACCATCATAAAAAAATCTTGAAGGGAAAAAAACCCCATTTTTAACATCTGTGGATATGTCTGGGATTGCAATGAAACAGAACGTTTGCTACTTGCTTAGTTGATTTGAAAAAATCATGCAAAACTATATGCTTGACTACATGTCTCCCTTCACACATTTGGTCTGACATGTTCTCGGTGTCAATTTATAAACCTGAGATAATTTTTGGGGAGGAGGGGGAGGGGAGGCATCCATGCTTCATTTTGTTCTTGGGATGCAAATGAAGAACTTCAGCAATTGAATTAATTTGCTCTTGTGTTATATGGAATACAAGCAAGTAAACTGCTTGCTAATAAGTTCATTTAACTGTTTGAAGTAGAGCTCATTTCATGATGATTTACTTTTCCTGGATGGCTGATGACAATGTAAAAAATAAGCACACAGTTTGTGAGTTTACCGTTAGTGACATTTATAATACACATGGAAGGGAAGAATCCCTTCCCTTTATTTCAGCTAAAATTGTTATTATACTTGTTAAATACTGCCAGCGAATGTGTTAAAAAATTAAAAAGCAGAGACTTATGTTTTCTGCTTTATATGCTTTCGGTTCCTTCACAGTGCTTTTTTTCCTGGTATTGGACAGTATTCTTGTCATCCCTCTAAGGAAAGAATATTGAAAGCGGAAATTTCATAGGCTAATTCATCAGCTATTTTCATTTCAACTGCATGAACTTACTTCCTTTTTTGTTTAAACAGTTGGAGACCTTTAAAAGGCAATTGGTGCAGTCTTTGAGTGATGATGACTCATCTGTAAGTTTCATAATATTCATTTTTTGGCATTTCTTTTGAGAGTATTATTAGGTCACCAGCATTTGCAAAAAGAAAATTTGGGTATAATCTGTAATATTCTAAACAAGAATGAACGTGATTTCCATTTGACTTGTAGAACAGTACAAAAACTTGAGGCTCAATCTCTTCTTTTTAAAAGTTGTTTCCCTACAAGAATTTTCTTCTTTTCTTTTATCAACTGTGATGATCTTTTCTTTTTTCACCACGGCAGCCAGCTGAAACTGTTGATATTGGCATTTATGATCAATCTGTTCATAAGTCATATCCTTTAAAAGGTAATTTCACCATTGACATTTTAAGTCCTTTGAGTTTTGTTTGCTTTTCATGTTCCAGATATCATGTAACTTTAGCTGTTTCAAGCTATGGAAACCTCATGTTCTGAGTTTGATTTTGATAATTCTATCTTGCAGAGGAGGTGAATAGCTACACAGTGCATCATTCTTTCAGTGGTTCTGTAGACGGAAGAGGAAGTAATGGTGACGGTATTTGACTTTACATGTTCTTACATGATAATATTAGAATGTTGTGAAAGCTGTGTAATTATTATATCTTTTTTCTTGGATCCAGCTTCAAAGCACGCTTTGCAAAGGTTTTCCAGCCCTTACATAACACCACTGCTTACTCCAAGTGACACACCAAAAATAACTTCTGCTAGTGTATCCCCCAGACGATGCTCTGCTGCAGTATCTCCTCGGAGGACATCTGGCAGCACCTCTCCAACAATTCCTCAATTTCAACGCCGAGTTTCAATGTCATCATTCTATCCTTCGAGTCAACAGTCGAGTCAACAGTCCTCAGCAGCTAACTCTCCTCCAAGGGCACGGCCGAAACCAGGTTTCCAAGAGCTATCTTTTTTCTTTCCAATTTCCTTGTATAAGCTTGTACAAATGTTACTGCTGTAGATCTGCACTTCTGTCATTACACACATAGAGAGTCATTCTTTATATGAGATGCAAACTCTTGTTGACTCCAATATTTACACTATATACACGATTTTGCTCAAGTGTAAGATTGATTCTATACGTGTGTAACAAACATTCAACTACCTTTTCTAGCTGATATTGTTTCCATTTGGACAAATTGTTGTATTACTAATTAGTTCATGTATGTGAATTTTAAGCTCAAACTCCTCGAGCTGATGGGAAGGAGTTCTTCCGTCAAGCCAGGTATCTAATTTTTTGACTTTTGTTCTTTTTAATTTTTTCGAGCAAACGATCTTTCTCCTGATGATCAGCATGTGTTGATTCAGGAGTCGTCTGTCTTATGAGCAGTTCAGTGCGTTTCTAGCAAACATAAAGGAACTAAATGCTCAAAAGCAATCTCGTGAGGTGATGAATATAATCTTAGTTATTAGACTGTCCTATGATTACCTTGTATTTGCTTAGTTCAATATCTAAATGCTTTTCTGCCTTTTCTTTTTGCACATCGTATTATTTTAGGAAACTTTGAAAAAAGCAGAAGAGATTTTTGGAACGGATAACAAGGATCTCTATCTATCATTCCAAGGGATGCTTAACCGTGGTGTTCGTTGACAGTACAAAAAGTCATCTTGGGTGTATATTCCCATCTTATGGTAGCTTAAACATTTAACATAAGTCTTGCTTAGTGATCTAACGTTGACCAATTGACTTGTGAAACTCTTGAGCTATGTTCCAACTCGAGGTGCAGTATCGCTAAACATCAGCTCAGAAATCTTTTGAGGTGCAACCTTATAGAAATTCAAACAATTGAGATTGGTACTGATTGTGCTATTGCTAGCTGATGAGTCAATGATCTCATGTTTAAATTCTCATTAAATCATGGATGCATGCTGTAAATTATTCCTTTCTTTTTTTCTCTCATTTCAGTTTTGCATTTTCAATTTTACTGTCACGTGTGGCACATCTGAGAGGAGCGGGTGGTGCCAGCAGATGGCAGTTGAATCAACTCGTGAGTTGAATTTCCTTCTGTTGCTGCTCTCGCTCTTTCATTTGCACGTGTATGGTATGGGTATGTATATCTTCTTCTGCTTCACTTGAAATTTTCTTCTGTGGAGAAATGAGTATCTGCAGTATTGGCACTAGTTGTGTTATCATGCGGACATTAATATGTAAATTGAAGGGTATACAATTGATACTTAGCATCCATAACTAGCAAACCAAAACTCTGATGCTGTAGTTGTATCTACTGTAAGAATCTAATACAACACACTATCAGTTTCATTGAATTGCAGGATCTCTGTTCATATCCGAACTTGTATCGTTGATTGGTACTTATCAATATTTTCTCCTCATTATACATAGTAAACACAAAATATTAAAGTTAAAAATAATTCAATGCCAAGGTCAAGAGGTAGTGAGATGAAAAAGTTAGCATAGTTTGCATGTGGGCTGGAAAAGCAATTGATCCTACTTTTTGACAAGAGGATAATCATGCCTTGATAATAGCGTGCAAAGAATTGGAACATGTAGATTCTCAATATATATTTGTTGAACAAGAATACTGCTGTATGATTTTTGTTGATCGCCTTTACCAAAAGAAAGGTGGTATCTTTTTATGATCGATGTTAAATCAATGGATAACCCAATAGCTGCAGCGATCTTATAAAGACTAGAAGCTCTTTTTCCTTTTTCTTGTTCAAAGAATAAAAACATATCAATAAGCAAGTGATAGGATGCATTAATTTGAGTCCGAATTCTATATTGGAGCTGAAGCTTTACTTGGAGAAATAAAAGGAATCTGAGACTAAAGAGCTCATTTTCTTTGATCTGAGATCATATGCTTAATGTAGGATTAGAACCAAGGAGGAACAAAAACTAGTCAAATCAAATCCTTTGTGGGTATCTGCTAGTTCTGTTGAGCTAAGATTGAATGAATTTACTGAGGCAATTTGGAGCATAAGTGGTACCATTTTTCAACTTGTTCTTTCTTCATAGTCTTATTTTTTTCTTGTATGGGATATATAGTTAGTCCTTCAATCGTAGCACTAGCACCTGATACTTGGCCCTTTTTCACTTTAACTGCATGCTTTTTGCGGAAAATAGGCTGCTAAAAGAGAGAAAACATATTTCCTCTCTTGTGTTTTTCTCTTTTGTTATTTCTTTTTGGTATTGCATTGGGAACAGATTCTTTATATCCATTTTGATTCCTTTCTAAGATTGCAACACATGTTATTGTTTCCTCCCTTTAACTATTTGCCTACATTATATCATGGCAACTGTTTTCCTTCAATTAATAATTATCCAGATCTAATAGCACATATCTTATGATTCAAATGATTATGATCTATAATATATTAATTAATTATTTTAAGGATTTTGACATTTCACTTGTTCGCCAAAATTGTTGCCTCATTTCATTAACCAGGATCAACAACCACATTGCTGTCAATCAGCCACCATTACCACAACAACCATCATTATATATGGTCAACCACCACCATTCATTAGCTACATATATTGTTGTCATTATATTAAGATCTCAACTATTTATATTTCAATATGATACCTTGGTATATTCAGGCATGTATTTAGATTTAAACATATAATATTCAGATGTGTATTAAAATCCATCTTCCTCTCATTAACATTTAGAGTAGTAAGTAAAATGATAGTTACTGGTAACCAAAGAGAGGAGGCATATATATAAAATAAAAAAGAAGTTTGATGCAGCATGATAGGAGGTATATATTGTACGTTGATAAATCTTGATCTAGACCCATGTGTTAGATTCTAAGTCTATAGAGTAGGCACAAAATTATTAGTGCTAAACTTTTCAACAGCATCAGAATAGTAACAACATGACCCCCGCCCCTCCCCTCCCCTCCCCTCCCCTCTCTTTTTCCTATTTCACCCTTCTCTTTTTTTCACTACGATTCCTTTACCACACTAATTAAATCTCTACATATATATATATATTTTCATGTTCCAATATCATCATATGCATCACTAATAACACATTTGCACTGCCCCAGACTAGGATTTGAAATTTATAAATTTCTATAAGGACTTTAAGTTAATTTATGATATTAATTGAATTTACAGTTTGATATTTAATTGATAATTAGATACGTTATATAGAATTTGTAAAGAAAATATTATTGAGCTCTCGTGAATAGAGTCCCGCCTGCATTTTCCCTAGCCACCTTTTATCCAATAAAAAATTGATACCTTAATGAAAGTTTTATGCAGCTTATTGCTTATTTACACAAAAGCTTTAATGAGACGCTTCAAATTCAAACTATACCTTATAATGCTTCAAACAGGAAGATAATTGTACTGTTGGTGAATAAATATTAGCGTAAAATTGGAAATAGATGAAAATTTTGGTAGAGATATGATCACGAGCTACAAGAATAATTATCTTTTTTTCTCCATTGGTAAAAGGTTACCCCACTATTTGTATTAGTAGTAGTGTTGCAATATATGTATGTATGAATATATATATATATATATATATATATATTCAAATGAATGTCACTAATAATTAAGCCGTATTTGTGGATAATATTTACACCATATATTAACGCATCAAATATAATCATGGACGTGAATATGTTTAAATTAGATGCCGTATTAGAAAGTAATAGAAGTTATATCTACGCACCTTTTTATTTCATTCAAAAGTTTAAGACGACGGATATTTTTATTCATATAATTATGTTTCCACACGCTCGCTCCGTTTACACTTTGATTTATTTAATTGTGTCCCCCTCGAGATGTGCAGGGTATGATTTATATATGAAGCCAAACACATGGGTATATCTTTTTTGGCGATAGTAATTGGTGACTTTCAAGCCAATTACCTTTGTTTGCTAAAGTATATGATTATCTCATCTAAAATTTTAAGATACTAAAAATAACACACCTTTATTTACTTAATTATATTTTCAGTATATATTTTGTTCTTTTTATGTGTTTTCGCTAGCAAATACTAATTACTGTGTTTCACACTAAATCATCATTTTTTTTACTTAGAAGCTTGACCAAAACAATTCATAAATCATAAACTAAAAATGGAAAAGTTTGGCTAACATAATTCATAAAACTAACACATAAATTAGTCAGATATGTCAAGCTCAGACGTGGTATAATATTAATCAGGAATAAACAAAATAGAAAAAAGTAAGAGACAATATATAGAAACATAGAGAATACAGCTAGAGCAAGTTGCCAAAAAGCTTTAATATAGCTATAAATAGTTAAGAGCACAAAATCCATATCGACCACCCAAGTCAAAAATTGACTCATTAAAAACATCAGTATAGCCATTTTTTCAATAAAAAGAATGGCTTTCACTCCTCATGATCATGAATACTATACTAGTCATGGCGTTTTCTCCAATGAATTCATCAATTCTTCTCTTGTTACTACTACTACTACTACTACTACTAATCCTCTCTCCCAAATAACCCCCAGTACTTCAGTTTATGAACATAATATTAATGAACAACTAGTGAATATAAATTCACTAGATCATTATGTGCCACCCTCAATTTCAATGATGCCATGGTTCCCTGAGCGGCTAGGGGTTTCCGACATGACGGTGCCGATACTACTACCAGCATCGTCTAATTCTAGTGACTATAGTACTAATACTCATCAGGTTTATGCAGTCGACAAATACAATAATAAGTACGGATGCAACGGCCAACACCACGAGGGTTGTGAATCTTGGGATGAAAATACTGACCATGCTTTTGAATCCAACTTCTGGTCCTCTTGTCCTCTCGCTACCTCCTCCAATAATTGGGTACGTCTATTTTGCTGAAATACTATACATCATCAAATGTTTTCAGCATGAGTGAAAATATTTTTATTTATTAACTAGTAATAGTCAACATATATTTATTTTGTCACAAATTAAACTAGCATAACATTTTGTGCATGGAAAGTCAGAATATTGGGGAGTTGTCTCCTTATGTATTCCTTGATAATCCTCATGAACGTAACTATTTTTTTCGAAAGTGATCAGTTAGGCTCAAGATTTTATTTATTTTTTCTTTAACAGAAATATGTTTTTGACAGGGGGCTCAAAGGGAAACAAGTCCAAAAATCAAAGAAACGCCGGTAATGAAGATCGGCAGGTACTCAGAAGAGGAAAGAAAGGACAGAATTCTCCGATACCTCAAGAAAAGAAATCAAAGGAATTTTAACAAAACTATTAAGGTATATCTCCTTATTTTATATTTTTAATTAATTGTATAGCTAGCATATAGTTTAATTAATATATGAATTAATTTAAATAATGTGGGCGTACAGTATGCTTGTCGCAAAACCCTAGCAGACAAACGTGTTCGAGTTCGGGGAAGATTTGCAAAGAATAATGAAGCCTGTGATGATCATGAAGTCCTCATCAAGGGGAATGTTAATTACCACCAAGACAAAGATGTTTGCTATGATCATAATCCACAAATCCAGGTTAATTCATTTCTATCTACTTAACCATCCATCTTAATTATTCGTCTGAATATAATTAATTTTATAAGTATAATCTAGCTCTCTAACAACTTAAGTTTTTAGATCCTAAATATTTTTGCGCAAAAATCTGATTTTATTTATTTTTTTGCAGATGAAACATGGTGGTGATCATTATAATGATCAGGAGAATTGGGTAGAAGAGGCAATCACAAATTTTATGTATATACCTTATATAGGTAGCTCCTATGATGGAAATTTCATAAGCTGATAGCCATTTGTTTATTACTCCACTACTTAAGTCTCTCTCTAATTATAAAGTTGATGTACTCCCATCCATTATTTATCAATGAATGAATGAATAGTTGAGCTCCACTTCCTTTGATATACAACTGTTCCTCCTCTAAAAGAATGATTATATTGCATAAACAATACTAGCCTCATTAATCTCTCTTTTGACACATTGAAAATACTATATACATTTTTCACAAATACTTATATCAGGATTGATAAACTGTCTACATCACACTCTTAATTAAATTATTGTCTTTTGTATCTAGTTAAACCTGAGATGCTTCCTATACTGAACTATCCTTTTTATGATCTCTATAGTGTTAGGAACTATCCATAATAACAAACTTAGCTTCCAAAATAAATTTATGATGATTCATTGTTACATGGCTCCTAAGTGATAAAAGAAGAGAAGAACTTATACTTTTTCTTTATTACCTTCCTCGCTCACTATATCAAGGACCTCAAACAGTTAACCACGGGCATCTCCAACCCTATACTTTATTTTACTCTCCAAATA